TGGCATTGCTCCTCTTCCCATTTGTGCTCTCTGTTCTTCTTCCCCTGATTGATCTTCTTGAGAGCTCCAAAATGTTTGAAACTCCTATGAGACTCCCAAGTGTGATGGTGTTGTCATGGAAGAAAAATCCTGTTGACTGCAACATTAACACCATTGAATGTCATGACTCAACATGAGCTGCAGCTAGCTATACATATGGACTGAAATTGAATCTTGAGTATCAATGTTTCATAAGCATTACTTATCTATTGATGGGATGGCCATAATCTGAGCCAAGTCCATAAGATTACATGGGATTCTGTCTTTGCTGATCTCTTCTCTTACTGTGAGATCCCACACATCGGTTAGGGAAGAGAATGAATCATTTTTTATGAGGGTGTGGAAACCTCTTTCTAGTAGACACGTTTTAAAAATCTTGCGGGAAAGCTCGAAAGAAAAAATCTAAAGAGGACAGTATTTGCTAGCGGTGAATTTGGGTTGTTACAAATAGTATCAGAACTAGATAATGAGGAATGTGTCAGTGAGAAGGCTAAGCTCCAAAGAGGGTGAACATGAGACGGAGTGTCAGCAAGGACGTTGGGCTCCAAAGGGAGATGAATTGGGGGGAGCCCACTTTGATTGGAGAAGAGAACGAGTGTCAGTGAGGACACTTGACCTCGAAGGGGGATGGATTGTGAGATCCAACATCAATTCACGGTGGGTTTGAAAGCTCGTGCCCAACTTATAATGCAATAACATGAAACTATACATTCAGTAATTCATCCTTTTCCAGTTGTGGACATATAGATTTCATGAAAAAATGGGATACCTCTGCCACTACCATACTACAGAAACTGAACCATCATGGATTCATGTAATGGCCCATAAGAACCACTTAAAAGGACATGAGCGACCTAGAATTTTATATACTTCACCACTTATCTTGGCAACCAAATGTATGATCGATAGGATTAGACGATTGTTCTATGAGAATGGTTGGGGGTGGGTGCAAACTAGTCCAGACACTCACGGATATTAAAGAAAAGCAATAATAACATGCAGGGACTCAGAGCAGACATCATTTGGTTGCCAATGCCACTAAAAAACAGAGTAAATAAGTACGATAATCAATCAAACTACAGACCTCAGTGTCCAAATCGGTTGAAGAATCAGTGAATGAAACAGGAGAAGCCGTCATCAAAGTGTTGAAAGACACTGATCCCAAACAGTCTCGATTTCCAGGCACGCCAACTCTTACATTCAAAGGCTGTAGACCAAGAGGCCACCCCTCTCCCTTCAATCAAATCAACGAGAAAGCGAATTCAAAAATCCAAACAGCAATCAGATAAAGGAAAAAGGAGAAAACACAGTCAGAGAGAGAAGCCCCACATCAGAAAGCATTCGGAGAGGAAAATCCAAATGAACGTGAAAGAGGAAACAAATCAAGTACCTGTTGAGCCATGTGTGTGCAGGCCAGGTGCTCGATGAAATGCCGGGACAGTTGATTTTTTGAAGAACCTGGAAACCCCACTGTCCGATCGAAGCCCACCTCAAGAATCAAATTTCGTTTCACACAGAGGAGCTGTCAATCTCTTCTCCACTGGATGATGCATTTCAAAGAACACAAATCAATTGATGAACAGAGGAGAGCAGAGGAAGACGAAGAAGAAGACGAAACCATTTCATTCCAATTTCATGGAGTTCGGTCTTTTGGGGGTCCATCCCTCCAAATCGGTAAAAAAAAGTGCGTAATTTATTACCATTGTTAATTATTATTACTTTTTAACCTTTTGTTTTTTTTACTTTTTTTACTACAAATTTAACAGAGGAATCGTTTCTTTCCGCATAATATTATTGAAAAAAGCAAAGCCCAAATTTCAGAACCTGTCTCCCTTACATTTGTCGATTTTGACCCTGATGATCGGGTAGAATTTAGAACGGGGGAAAGGGTAGAATTGGAAAGAGAAATTGAATAAAGATTTTATTGAGAATTGGCATAAATAATTAATTTTTGTGTAGAATAAATAAATATTTTTTTTCTATAATTTTGATTTATTCCCTTTTAACTTGGGCCGTGCAAGTGGGCTTCACAATATTCTAAAGGCCCAATTTCTTAATATATTGGGCCCAAGGCCCAATGGATCGAGTGTATAAGCCCATGTTGATTCCATTCATTTGAAGACGACAACAATCTCCTTTTCTGGACAACTTTTTTTAAATATTTTGATATATACATTAAATATTTAAATTTCTGCTAAATTTAAAATTATAATAAATAAATATTAATATATAAAAGATTATAATTAATTTTAATGGTTACGATTATTAAGTATGAAATTTATGCCAGAAATAGAAAATAAATGAAAACAAAAAAGGAAAAGAATTATTAACTTAGGAAACCCATGCAGTTTGCATTAAATATTAAAATTACATAAACTAACGAGGACATGTCGTTTCACGTCATTCGACTAATCGTTTAACCTTCTTAACAATCTTACCGCCAAAAAGATTTGAAGGAAACAGAACCTCCAATGACTTAATTTCCCCGAACACATAATCATGAGGCATAAAAACCAACCGGCCGCCGGCCTTCCGTTTCCTCACCGACGGGAGTCGCCTCGGTTTTCTCGACGGCGGAGGACACTCAAGAATCGCTGCAGGTTCCAAAGATCTCGGAGTCTTCACCAAATCATCGGGCCGAGCCTCGTCGTTGTCTTCTTCCTCCTCGGGTCGTAAACAAAAACTCGACAATGGCAGCCGGAGCTCCAAAGTGGAGAGTAAAATCTCGAACGTGTCTTCTTTAGGATCTTCGAATTGCTCCATTATGGTCACTCGCTTGGCTTTCAAAAGTGAAAAAGAATCCACGTTGAAATTTATTAGGACATCTTATGATAATAATGGATGATTGATTGGACTTTTATAGAGAAAAGGGGAAGAAGGTTCTGCGTTGAAATCATCCACCAGGTCGTTTACTCGGATGAATTATTGGAGAGAAACTGTACCGTATCTCAAATTTATGTTTTTCAAACTTCAAAAATAGGTCTCGAAAAATGGGCAACGACCCATAAACAAGAGAAAAGTTGAATAACAGTAGATATAGTCATTGAGCGGGAAGACCTACCTCGAACTAGACAGAGAATGGAGAGGGAGCGGAAAAGGGATTTCTTCTCATTAGTTAAACGGGGTCGGGATGTAGAGAGAAGTCTGATAATAGTAAAGATATTCATTTAACGAGAGAACCTATCTCGAATTAGACAGAAAACTGAGTCGAAGACAAAAGTTATACATAAGTTAAAATAAATTCAGGATTGCTTTATTTGCACTCAAATGATAAGTAGAAGGGCTTTGAAAATAATATTTTATTAAATGGTCGTGGATTACGGGTCAACTAAGCTAAGCTCTCTTGAAAACTTGACACGAGTAGGTTAGATGCACGAGATAGTGAGCTCGTAGCACCTACTAGTGCGAGCACCTAACGGCTAAAGTTGTCAGATTAAAAGGTCTAAAGGACTAAGTTTCACCAACTCATCTTCCTCCTGCCTTTTTAAAGTCGACATTTGACCAAAGATACTAAACGCTTGTGCAAAAGTAGAAACAAATCAATAAGAAGTCAGCCAATTTTTCGTCGAGGCCTTCTCAATTGAGAAATCTGAACAGATACAGTCGAGCCATATGAAGTCTCTGTACTCTTAATTTCATTTCATTTTAATCTCTATACTTTCAATAAATTTATATTAAGTCCTCAAAATTAATTTGTCTCTAAATCACATAAATAATAATAATAATTTTTATGCGCGAAAATAATAATAATAAATTAATTTATAAAAAAAAATAATTTTAAAAATTGAATATTTAAAGATAAAATCCAATATTTTAAATATTTATTAATATTATAAATAAATAACGAAAAAAACCCAATTTATTAATTTGGCGGTTACTTTCCTTTTAAACTTGATTGAAAACCCCAAAGCGTAAAAATAAATAAATAAATAAATAAGAAAATTATGGTATTGAATTATTTATTGGATAGGGATGTGACACCAAACATATCTTTTAGGAAATGGGAAATAATTACGAACAATCATATCAATAATTAATTTTTTTTTTCTTGAAAACATTATATGCACGAAAAAATATTGGGGACGTCTCCCCCTAATAGGCACATTTTTTATAAGGGTGTAGAAATCTATCCATAGTAGATGTGTTTTAAAAATATTGGGGGAAGCTCGAACGGGAAAGCTTAAAGAGAACAATATTTGCTAGTGATGGACTTGGGTCGTTATAAATGGTATAAGAGCTAGACACTGGGTGATGTGTTAACCAGGAGGTTAAGCCCTAAAAGGGGGTGGACATAGGCAATGTACCAACAAAGACGCTGGGTTTCGAATTGGGTGGATTGGGGATCCCACATCGATTGGAGAAGGAAATGAGTGTCAGCGAGGACACTGGGCACTGAAAGGAGGTAGATTGTGAGATCCCATATCAGTTGTAGAACAGGAAAAAAAAACATATTCTTTATAAAGGTGTAGAAATCTCTCCCTAGCATACGCGTTTTTAAAACCTTGAGAGGAAATGTGGGAAATAAAACAATATCTGTTGGCGGTGGGCTTAAGCTTGGGCTTGGGCTTGAGCTCGAGCTCAAGCTTGGGCTTGGGGTTGGGCCGTTACAAGAAATTATCAATTTATTTTTTTAAAAAGTAATACATAAATGAGAATTGAAAATAAAATTATGGTCCAAAATGGGCTTCCTTTGATCAGCCGGGCCCAAGAAAGAACGTAGCAAAATTGGGCCGGAGGCCCAACTGTTGAATGGAGCAAGTTGGTCCAGTCGTCTCGCTTTGCTATTGACGACGAAAGCACCACAAAACAGCCTGTATCCACGGAACCCATAAAATTTCGACACGTGTCGAAATTTGCTTTGATCTCGCTAAAGATCATCCAACGGTACAGATCGATTTTCAACTGCGAGTTCGTTTAAAATCCGAATTTCCACTCTGCATAGCTCCATATGCATTTGCAATTTTTGAACGCAAAGGCGGGCAGCTGAGATCGCAGCCACTTTCTTCTTTCTCTCCTTAGCGGGCTTTCGTTCATCTTTCAGGTGCTATGCGATTTTCTCTGTGCATTCTGATCTTTTTTTTCCCGAGAACATTTCTGTAATGTGATTCTTCGTAACGCTAGGCGGCATTATGATGATGTTGTTGTTGTTGTTGTTGTTGTTGCTGCTGCCGATTTTTAGATTGTTCTTCCGATCATGTTGTACGAAGCATCATTGAATGAAACTTCTGTTCCTATTTGTTACATTGTTCAAATCCATGCAGCTGCAGATATTTTCGTTCTTTCTATATTGATTATGATCTTCTTTGTCTTTACGATGGATTGCATGTGTTTTTTCCTTCCATTTGCATTTGGAGATGCAATTAGGACCGTCTTTCGGATTTTTTTTTTAATAATAGCATTTTTTTTTATTTGATGAAAAATTATTGTGAATCAGTTTTTTCATTTCTCTGTTTGCATTTGCGATTCATGATCTGGCATTGGATCATAATGATCTCACGTACTGAACTTGTGAGATACGCATCGTGTGCCCTCAAGACCGTCTCTGAGGGAATTTAGCAGATCGGGATCTTTCTAGACTGATTGAGGATGTGCATAAAATGTTAATTCTTTTGTGCTTAACACAGCAGATCGCCAATTCTAATGGCAAATTAGATTACACTGTCTTGATTTTCCTCTCTCTTTTCCAAGTCTGGCTTATTGTTCTGAATGTTTATATGTAGCCAGTGATCGAAGATGGCAGAAGGGGAGGATATTCAGCCACTTGTCTGCGACAATGGAACAGGAATGGTCAAGGTGTGTTTGTTAGATATCCAATAAAACTATTCAGCAAAACTTCTATTATTCTGATGTTTATTATGTCTATTGTTATGAATATCTTTTTGAGTTTTTTCACTGATATGGTCAATGTTAGGCTGGCTTTGCTGGAGATGATGCTCCAAGGGCCGTGTTTCCTAGTATAGTAGGTCGACCAAGGCATACCGGTGTGATGGTCGGAATGGGGCAAAAGGATGCGTATGTTGGGGATGAAGCTCAGTCGAAACGTGGTATATTAACTTTGAAATATCCCATAGAGCATGGTATAGTGAGTAATTGGGATGACATGGAGAAAATTTGGCATCATACCTTCTACAATGAACTCCGAGTGGCTCCAGAAGAGCACCCTGTCCTACTCACTGAAGCACCTCTTAACCCAAAAGCAAACCGTGAAAAAATGACCCAAATTATGTTCGAGACCTTCAACACTCCTGCCATGTATGTTGCCATTCAGGCTGTTCTTTCCCTCTATGCTAGTGGACGCACAACTGGTAAGCAGATCGATCTTTGATTTGGTTTAGCGAATTTATAAAAAGTTTTAAATTTTTGCCATCTTGTTTTCATGATTAGAACCATAAGTCGCAACTTAGATAAATATCAAATTGCTAATAACTCTCAGATGACGATTGTTTAACTGCACTGATTATAGCAAGTTCATAAGCTTTTAAACAGATAATATGATTATAGCTCTATCGTCTTTTGTTAGTGAGGAAATTCAATCATGTATCATCCTTGCCCTATTGCATGCTCACATAAATGCTATATCTATGTGGTTCAAATTTTCAATAGGTATTGTTATGGATTCTGGAGACGGTGTCAGTCACACAGTCCCAATTTACGAGGGGTATGCTCTCCCCCATGCCATACTCCGTCTTGACCTTGCTGGCCGTGACCTCACTGATGGCCTTATGAAAATCTTGACTGAACGTGGGTATTCCTTCACCACCTCAGCTGAGCGAGAAATTGTGAGGGACATGAAGGAAAAACTAGCATATATTGCCCTCGACTATGAGCAAGAACTTGAAACTTCCAAAAATGCTTCATCTGTCGAGAAGAGCTATGAACTTCCCGATGGGCAAGTTATCACAATTGGTGCAGAACGTTTCCGATGCCCTGAAGTTCTTTTCCAGCCTTCAATGATTGGAATGGAAGCTGCAGGCATCCATGAAACAACGTATAACTCCATCATGAAATGTGATGTTGACATCAGAAAGGATCTGTATGGGAATATTGTTCTTAGTGGTGGATCAACCATGTTCCCTGGCATTGCTGACAGAATGAGCAAGGAAATAGCTGCATTAGCTCCAAGCAGCATGAAAATAAAGGTGGTAGCACCACCTGAAAGAAAGTACAGTGTCTGGATTGGTGGCTCCATTTTGGCCTCACTTAGCACGTTTCAACAGGTATGAGCGTAGCGTTCATGTTCATAATTGCCTTTGTTTATCGTATCATTAAACCAGATCAATGTGAATAATTTAAAAATGGGTTGCAGATGTGGATCGCAAAGGCAGAGTATGATGAGTCTGGTCCATCCATTGTGCACAGGAAATGCTTCTGATTTTGGCGGCCAACCTATTTTTTGGGCACTACAATTGCATTTCGTTTGTGTTCCTCGCGTATTCCTAATTTTTTCAGTGTTCGTGTTTTTTTTTTTGGTCCACTAAAATTATAAATTTAATAGTGGAAATTTGCGTTAGTTTTCGTTTTTTCTTGAATATTCTTTTGTATTTGGAGTTGTTGAGATATTAAATCCAACTCTTTTACTGTTTTTCCCAACCATATTCTTAGAACAAGAATCATAAATAAGAGTGAATCCAAGGTAGATAGCCGCTTACGATTCATAAATTTTTTATTACCTACGACCTCTAATCAATTCAACTCTACGCTACAACCTCTAATCAATTCAACTCTATGCTACAACCTTGAATTGGTGAACAACATTGTGCAACTATGCAAAAAATTAAATAAACTTTACAACGTTACAAAGAAGAACTGCAGGACATTATAGCTATCCTGATAAGATCGTTTGGTGATTTTTTTTTTTTGGTCCATAAAATTTAACCCATAAGATTGTTTTAAAAAAATAGAATTAAAGTTGATCAATTCAAATTTATTTATTTATTTTTTTAATCAATATTATAATATTTCATTACATAATTTTAATTTTCTTTCGATATTGAAATTTCTTTTATATATATATATAATGGGTTATGAAATAATTGATTAAACGCTATTCTATTAATATAATATTAATTATAATTCTATAATTAAATAATTATTAAATAATAAATTATTTTTAGTTATGTTAGAGAGGATTGTATACATATATTTATTTTAATTTTGTAATAATTTTTGTAATTATTTATTTTCCCACTAACTCTTAAAAGTAAAATTTAAGTATTTGGGTATTTTTTTTAAAATTGAATAGTTACATATTTTTATTTTAAATTTATAATGATTTTTTCTAATTATTTATTCTCTAACCCCTGTTAAAAATAAAAATAAAATTTAAGTATTTGTAATGCAATTTTTTTTTAATTGAATTGTAAATCTTAATTCAATAGTGTAAAAATTAATAACTTAATTCAACTTTGCCTCATTTCTTACTCCAACTAATTTACATATTTTTTTTTTGGAATATTAAATTAATTTATAAATCCCTACTAATATTCTTTAAACAAATAAAAGAAGGGTATAAATGCAAATTTTGAAACAACCAGGGACGAGAAGAAAGGAATATCAATTATTAAGAAATTACAAAATTTCCTTTTTTGACACATTTTTTTGTTTCTTTTACACTTTACACCCCCCCTTGGCCCCTCCAAGTAAACTGCAGATTCAAGTTCTTGAGGCAATTCCAAGAACCTTAATCACTGTATAAACATTAAAAGAAACCTGACCTTTTATACACAGGATCTCCAGATCCTCCCTTCTAATGAAATCACAATGATCGACACATCGTCGTGGTACTTCCTCCGGTCCCCCTGCGGTATTTCGAGCAGCTCGTGGAAATCCATACCTGTAATGTATCACCATAGCCAAGCTAAGCATTCCAAATAATATCAGCATTCATATTTCGTAAAGACGAGAAAAGCGTATGCTTACCAGCTCGCTTTGCAGCTCGAAACAGCAGTAATTCAATCAGATGTTGAGCCGGGTCGCCTTCAGGTTGTAACGTAATGAAAAGCTCGACCTCGGAAACAGCTTCTTCGTTTGTGAAGTACTGGTAGAGTCCATCAGATGATAGTATCAAAAACCTGTCTTTTGGTCCCAATCTGTGGTGGTAGAGACATGGCTGACAACTGATGTATGGCAATCTCCCTACGTAGTCTATTCTGAACATCTCCAACAATGCATTGTTCCATTTTGGCTGCACGTAAGAACAAACATGGTCTATGTTAACGAACGCTATCTCGGATCGAAGGTTGCATAATTCGTGTTTTGTATCGATCCAGGGTGAAGAAAACAATTTGGTTCATCAAGAACAATCCATACAAGAGCGAGACATGGAATTTTAAAGAGATTACTAACCTGTTTGAGGAAACCAGCACCGAACGCCCGAGTGACCTTCAACGAGCCTTTCACACGGTCGTTCATTACGGCACCGGCATCATCAGGGTGTTCGTTTTTTATTCGTCGAACTTCCTGAATTACAAATCACAACAAGAACTAAATCAAGCAACAACAATGCATAAAAATCACAAAAGGCCGATATTATCCGCTTTGGCCCGTTACATATCGCCATCAGCGTCACGGTTTTAACACGTGTCTACTAGGGAGAGAGGTTTTCACACCCTTATAAGGAATGTTTTGTTCCCCTCTCCAACCAATGTGGGATCTCACAATCCACCCGCCTAGGGGCCCAACGAGCACGCCACCCGGTGTTTGGCTTAGATACCATTTGTAACAGCCAAATCCCACCGCTAGCAGATATTGTCTGCTTTGGCCCGTTGCGTATCCCCGTCAGCCACACGATTCTAAAACGCGTCTCCTAGGGAGAGGTTTTCACACCCTTATAAGGAATGCTTTGTTTTCTCTCCAACCGACGTGAAATCTCACATGAACGGTCTAAAGAACACTCAAATCACCTCATGAACATTGGTACTATGATCCATGGAAAGCTGAAAAGCAGCAAGGTTAGCAGGCTTGAATGCTGCATCAATGTCATGAACTGGCTCTTCACTAATCCTCTCCAAATCCTGTCGAATCATCCCGAGCCAGTAATCGGGATCGGCCTTCTGCGCTAAAACAGCTCGACTGTCGCCGACATTCATCACATAAACATCATCTCCCTTCATAAGCATCACAAGAACACAAGAGCCCATCAAAGCTAGTTCAGGATTTTCATCGAGCACCTTGTCTGCAATATCCAAATAGGCCTCTTCTGTGTTCTTCAATGCCTGGGACAGAGCTTTAAGAACATCCGAATGATTAATCGATCTCGATCCGTTCGATTCAGATCGATTCAACTGCTCCTTTAATCTCCGATCGAGTTCTAATCTTTCCTGATCCCATTCGCATTTCCACCGCCGCTGATTATCCTCCCACTTCTCAGCCGCTCCTCTAAATTTGCCTCTTGAATTCTTACCTTTTCTTCTTCTTGAAGGATGATTCTCTTGTTCTACACACCGAGAACAAGCATCACCCGTCCGATTAACCGGCGAAGTGACCGGAGCGGGGACGCCAGCCAAATCGAGGTTTTCGTCCCATAACAAACCTTTGAGCTCTTTATGAACAGAGGAGTATAAATTCGATAAGAGGTAATCAGGAGCATCAGGACCGTTAAATCCATCATAAATCCCAACGAAAACCCATCCATGTTCTTCAGAAACTACGACATGAACTCGATCTTCCCCTGCTTTTCCTTGCGCCCACTGCAGATTTTGGCTCTGCATTGATTCATCATCTTCCAAACTCCCCTCGCTACTGAAATTCAAACTACTCACCGTCAAATTCTCATTATGTTTCTCGGGCATGACGATCCAATCGGGTTCTTTCACCGCTTTAATCGGAGCCACAATGGAATTCTTCCCTCGATAAATCGATTTCGGAATTGCGCTTCTAAGAATCCGAATCAACCGGCTTTTTCTGGATCTAGATCTGGAATTAAACCCGCCTCCATGAGAAAAACTCCTCTGAAATTCAGTGGATGAAGAATTATCGAGCGGACCAGAAAAAATCCCTTTATCCAATGGACCCGACATAAACCCTCGCTCAATTGGACCCGATAAAAACCCTCTTTCCAAATGCCCCGAAATAGGACCCGAAATTGGACCCGAATTGATCATATTTCTAGGGATTGGCTGCAAAGGGATTGAAGCGAAAGAATTCGAACTTTCAAAAGCCGGCGCTCTATCAATGCTACTGTATGAATACAGATCAAGAAGAGACGTAGAAAGAGGCGTCGATGTATTGGCACTCACAGCGGCGCCGGAAATTGATCGGAAAGTGGTGGTTTCGTCGGAATGAACTTTTGACGACGAAAGCCTCGAGGGATCCGGCCGGACATAGCAGAACGAGTGCCCTAATCCTTCATCTAGTGGATTCGATATCAGAACGGAAATATCCGGCCGCCGCTTACCGTCGTCGATTCCGGCAAAGCAACCGCCGAGCTTCCCAATCCCGTTACCCATCGGGATTCCTGCTTTGGAGCTTGAAGAACAAAATTGAATCTTTTTTTCAGTAACCCAAATAGCTAATGATTTGGATATTTCATAGCGTCCACAGAGAGGGAGGATGAAGAAGAAGACGACGCGGAAAAGGAAAGAGAGACAAAGGCGTTGACTTTTAAGCACCGAGCCATCTTGGTTTCAAATCTGACAAAATAAAAAGAGAAAATAAGTTTATATTTCCTTATTTTCGGTAGAATCGGGCGTTGACTAAGGTTAGAAGTTTCACTCGGACTCAAATATTGACGTCTTTATTTCATTTAGGGTTTAATAAAAAAAATAAAAAATATATATTTTTTAAAAATTGTTAGCATTCATATTCAACGGGATGAGGACAAGTATTATGCTCACGCACGTGCGAAGTGGGCCCGGTTTCCAGAATCGGCGTTGGAAAATGTTTTCCACGCCTATAAATCGGCGACCTAATGAACCGGAAATTAAGAAAAATAAAGGAAAAAGGTCAAACGGCAAAAGTAAACGTTTGCATGAGAATCCGCGTTAGGATCACCATTGGATCATACGTGTCGGTTTGATGAAACAATGGTTGACCGACACCTGGCAAGTTCCCATTGTTTCGTTGACTTTTCTGTTCTAGTCATTCCCCCTCCCCGCAGCTAAATTTGACTTTTTTTCCCCACTATTTTCCATAAAAGAAATAAATTGCCATTAATTCCTCTTATATATATGTTTTAAATTGGATTATTATTTTTGGGAGTTTACATCCCAATATATAAAAATTTGACTCTTACTAACGATCCAATCTAAATTATCTAATGCAGCTAAAGTTGATTTGTAGGTTGACATTTTTAGTCGGGTCAACTTGATTAGCACGAAAATAGAGTTAAACACGTACATATATCTAAATCCTTTTAATAAATATATATTAATTTTTTCAACACGGTGTGAAATGGGTAGATTCAAAAAGCCCATGGTTTTAATATTTTAATGCCTATTTTATATAATAATTTTTAATTAAAAAAGAAAAAAAAGAAGAAATTCCTCTTCATGCTAATTTTTTCCACGTCAAATTAGTCAATTTATTGGACCCATTTATAATATTGTAAAAAAAGTATTTTTAAAAATAAAGATAAATAATTGTGAATTCATATTGCCACGTAGGTACGTACACGTGTACTCATGGAAACCCTCCACGTGGAAAATAAAACCATTAAAATTGAAGTTCATTATAATTAGTCAAATTTGAGAAGTAAAAGAAATGCTTAATGTCCACTTTCCATATTAATGATAATAATTAATAAAATAAATCAAAGTCGTAATTGTTTAAAATATGGCAAGTGGGGAAAGCTTACGAAACCAAACCACCATCCCCCACAAACTTCTCCTTTATTTATTTATTTACTTACTCAATTTAATTTAATATTTTATTTATATTTTAATCTATTAAAAATATTTACATTCGTAAGATGATTATGAAATTTTAATTATTATCATAATAATCGTGCGTAAATAATTAAGAAAATAATTAGTCAAACCTTGGATTTGTCGTCCTAATCTTACCCATAATTATTATTTAATTATCTAACTTTATATTTTATATTATTTAATGAATATAGAAAAATATTTAAAATAATAGATGAAATTACCATAATATAATATCACGTAAATATATATATATATATATATATATATAATTAATGATTCCCAACGCGATAATGATTATGTATAATATATTTTATTATATGTTAAATAAAGGAGAGATCCAACCTCGTCCATTGACTAATCTTTGTTTAACTATTAATCAACGTATTATAATATAATTAATTTTCTTGACAAATATTGTGGTTGGATTTTCAAATTTTGACTTGTGCTTTCATACATTTCATTTGCCTTTTACGTGGACTTGTACAATTATTTGAACTTAGGTGTAGGTGGAGGGAGATTAATGTAATTTTACTTTTAAATAATTTATATAATTTCTTTACTTTATCAGTTTAATATTTTTAATTTTATATTTAATAATTCGTGACGGTTTGATATATATGTTTTTTTAATTAATTGATTTGTAATATAAATTTAAATCGAAACAATTCATCTATGAATTTTAAAAAATATTAAGTAGTTAAAAAACTATTAAATATAAATTTAATAATTTGTTAGGCAGGGAAAAAAAATATTAAACAATTTTAAAAGTTTAAATCTTACTTATAAATTTTTTTATAAATATATTTAAATTAGGGTTTTTGTGTTTTGTAATTTATTTTAAAATATAAAACGTTTTAAAAAAAATGTTATGAATGTTAATAGTAGCGATCGTGAATAGGACTCTGCTTTACACGTGTGTGTGTATATATATATCACGGCAAATCGAGAAGTTTTGACCAATTGACTAGTGACTAAAGGGCAACTTTGCTCCTTTCTATTGCCAAATTTTGAATCATTTTTGGTCAAATCTTATGAGCAAATATTCTACCCAAACTTGGGAAAGAGAAATGGTGGGTTTTTTTATTATTTTTTTTTTATAATTTTTTTTATTTATTTAAAGTTGGGTTGAATTCAACTCATATTGTATTTGTAGTATATAAAATAGTTTTGATTTCGATGTGTTGTTTTAATACTCGAGTATGTGCTACTGGTCAATGCAATAATAAAATGCATAATATTTTGTCAACGTGAATATAGTACAACTGGTTGATCCTAACGATCAACGGGTTATCCAGATTTTGTCTCGGGTTATGAAGTCACTTAGCCACCTACAAAAGAAAAAACGCTCCCCGTAATTAGATATGAGATACTTGATCTAAATTATATTATATATTCGACCAAAATATTGAAGCATCTGAACCATTATTATTATTATTATTTTTTTTAGTATAATATTTTTACAAAACTAACTAAAATTTTGAAATTTTAATTAATTTCTTAATATTAGGGAAAATTCATCGGCATTACATTTTTATAGTAATCATTTAATTATCAATTACTTTCTTAATCGTCATTTTTTATTGGGCCGAAAATGGGCCTAAACTTGTTCAGATGCAACCCATGTTGGCCCAAATTTTGAGCCTCTTAACCGATTGGGCCATTATCCATTTTCTACCGGCCCAATCCTCATAAATAAGGCCCATGGTCCATGGACGAAGAAAATATTATTTATTATTATTTTTTTACAATAAATATCGAATAAACTTCTAGATAATTTAAAATAAAATATACAAATAAAAATTTAGAATTATTTTTTAAAATTTTAGAATGTCGACACGACTCTTGTGATTGAACGATTGAGATCTTAGATAAGGAATCAGGTCGATGGTGATGTCGAGCTTTGTGGACAATAAACAATAGATAAGGACACGTCCCTTGTGGTAACCTTCTATAATTCACTATCGTTACTTAACCCAAGCTAAATTGGCTCGATTTTAAAATGTGAAAACCCACGTTCGGCTCAGTCGAAGCCTATGAAAAGAAAGACATTGTTGGCCCCTGGATCTACTCGGACCGACATTTGATAGCTAAGCCCATGACTCAGTCCACGAGGTTATTACGAACCTGAATGAATTGAGCATCGATCGATTAATTTGGGAGCTCCCTAGGGTTCTTGTGTCAGAGCCCATTATACAAGAATTGGAGAACACGCAGTTGTTTGGTTGCCAAGAAACCGATGGAAAATTTGGAGGGCAAAGGTTACAGATTAGGCTTTGAATATCCAAACAAACGACGAACTAATCCAAAACCAACCCCAAAAGTAGACAAAATATAGACAAATTTCAGTTGGTTGAACCGAAAGGCGATTGGATTTGGAGCCCATTTCAGTTTCGACGACTTGGCTCGGAAATTGGAAGTTCACAGGTCAGTCTTCTAGCAGGTCAATTTCCTGTACCTATAATCAAAGTGGGGCTGTGCAAAGGAAGAACATGACGATTTTCTCCCTTTTCCATTCGTTATGAACTCAAGAAAAAGGATCAGCCTAGTATTTTACATGGTTGCGTATTATCTAGTTTGTTCAAACCGCTGATCGTTGGATTATTTTAAATCTCCAATCACATCATATTTGTACTGTTTATTTGATCGATTTTGAAAGAATCTAACCTCCCCGTTCTATGAACCCTAATTAATTTCTTTATTCAACTGCTTGAGAGAACAGGAACCATTAATTTTAGGTGGAATTGGTCATATCTTCACGTAATCTAACAGTCTTTGGAGTTTCAATAATTTCGCCACCAAACCATCAATCTCTGTAAAGTCTTGAACCCGTCAACTAACTTATGTGTTCATCTTATGAAGACCTACCCTGAGGTCGAGGTTATGGAGTTTGGACCAGGCAAGGAGACTCGTTCTGGGACCAAGTGGACCAGGATTCACCTATCTTGGGTGCTGTGGGTATCCACGGTTAGTATTCATTACTTGAAATGATATTAGCATCTTGATTCTTTGATATTTATCAAATTTCTGATGGATACTCATGAACACACATCAAAATGTTTTGGTGATATTAAAGAATAAAGCAATAATCATTCTTTTTAGGTCATAGTCAAATCAAGTTCTTCACCATATTCAACGCCTTTACTTTTCTCCTCCTCCTATCTATCTACCCTTTGGTTTATTTTACATAAACATAACTTTGGAGCAAGGAAAAACCTGCAAGTTTCTTATTTTTCTATCTAATCTCCAGGAGCCGCCGCCTTCTGAACCTTCCATAGCCTGTGAAACTTCGTTAGCTGCTGAAGGAAAACCCCACCTTTTTCCTTTCTTGGTATGAATGTGTCCCTATAGTCCCATATTTAGTAATTCTTGAACTATTTATTCTGTATTGAGGATCATCGAAATAAGTAAGAATATTGTTTCTACGATAAATACCATTTATGGGTATTTCAATCGAAATACCGGAAGGGGGTGGTAGTTCTTTTTTTCGATCTTGAAGTGATTCAAATTGAATGATTGCTATTTAAGATTTTGAAACTGTTCCCCTCTGTTTTTTTTTTCCCTTTTTTGTTCTTAAATTCTGCAATAAATATCTAGGGGGCTTTAACTCATGTCAGCTGCCTCAATTTATTGTCTTGTGAGAGTTTCTAAACGTTGAAGCGAACTGAAAATTCTGTTTATGTTTCTTTTACTGCTTTGTTGAAAGGGTCTGTTCTTTAACTTTCTGACTGTTTTTTTGTTCTTGTTTTTGTTTTTTTGAAGAACATCGCTGTTGAAATATAGACCCTTTTCTTTCTCAATTCAACTTCTACACAGTTCTTCAATTTGTAGCTCGCTCAGTTGTGATTGTTCAGTTCTTGTAAGATAAAATCTTGGGTAGATTTTGAAGGGGTAGTTTAAAAGATGATAGCAAACAAAAGAGGCTGAGCTTATTTTCAATCTTAGTGTGTAGAGAGCTTAGAAGACTTCTCATCATGTTTAAAATGGAAAAGCACATCAAGCGCCAGGACTCCAATATACAGTTTAACAGACACGTTCCAGGCTGCTTCTGGAGCATATTCCATACTATTGATTACCATCCCTGGCATAATGTTAAGAAGATGCTTCCTTACAGAAGGCATTCAAAAAGTAAGTTTGGAGCCAAACTTTAAACGATTTGCTACTAAATTTTCAAAGTTTTTTGTGGATTTGTAATCTGATTTCTTATCAAAACTCATCTGCAGGCAAGGGAAGTCCAAAATCAACTATGAACAACCACCACGTTGCTGAAGCGACAGAACAAATTAACGACGAAAACAAGCCTTTATGGGTAAGGTCATGGTACCATTAGCTAGCATTATCTGATATAACTGGACGTTGTTGTGAGGTATGATTAGTTAATTCTGGATTTATCGTGTCTAACAGTGTACTGCAGAGAGTTGTCCTATTGGCAGCAAACCGGGAGAAGGGTATGTAAATGAAGTGATAAGTAAAGAGATATCAGAGGAAGAAAGCCAAAACTACTGGAAAATAAATTCGAATTCGAAACGAAGTTTGAGTCGAACGCAATCTATACATCATTTAGAGTCTTCATCGTATTATTCTCGACATATAAGTCCTATGGAATTAGGTGCACCAGGAATAAAGAGTAATTCTCTGAATGCCATGGATTCTGAAAACTACTTTACTCGGAGAAAGATTGATACCCAGTTGACATCTTTTACAGAGCAATCTAATGGAGTAAGGAAAACCTTAGAAAGTAAACAGATCGACAGAAATATCTTGAGTCACTCATTTAAGGAAGACGTTCATATCCAAGAGATATTTAAGGCAAATCGAAAACTATTTGCTGAATTGTTACAAGGTGCACAGAGTAAGAAAACTCTCCAAACCCCGCAAAATAAGAAGTCCTCTGCAAGTCTAGCAAAATCAAGGTCGTTTCCTGCTCCTGGTTTAGCACGAAAAGGATACAAAAAGCTTAGCTCACTCCAACACAAGCAGAACGAGTCCTTTCCGAAAGTACGAAAGTCTGACTCTCCCCAACCATCAAAGCTGGTTGAATCTGAATCTCCTAAGAATTTTCATGAAGATGTGATGCCTTGTGACTCTGATAGTACTTCAAGCTCTAACATAACGTCGCAAACAAGCTCGTCTTCCTTTGGCCCGAATCGTGGACTAAGGCATGGGGGGTGGAATCAGTTGGTTGTCAAGCGTTTCAATTTTATTAAACAGAAAATAAGGCATTCATTCAAGGAGAGGAAGAAGGGAAATAACCAGAAAACATCTAAAGGAACACCAACTCAAACCGTGGATCCCTCTGGACATGAACTTCCCCTTAGCAGAGAAGAGGCGCAGGAAAGTTTAGGAACTGCCACGAGCAATGATGGCTTAGGCATTAGAGGATACAGTGAGACTGGCAATTCTGAGAATGATAATCTCAGTGATGGAGTTCAAACCAAGACTGGAACTGCTTCTCTGGAAAGGTATTCTAAACTGTCTGATGGCTCGAGCGTTAGAGGATACAGTGTGGCTTATAGTTCCGAGAACGTTTATCTCAGTATTGGAGTTCAAACCAAGACAGGAACTGCTTCATTAAAGGCTCCTCTGGAAAGATATTCTCAACAGCCCGAAAGGGAGGCAAAGTGCTTCCACTCACAAAGCTTAAGGCTGATACGTGAAGAAACGATTCCGAATATAGAGAAGCGTCGAAAATCCTATGGAAGGAATCTTTCTTTGCCTGATATAGATCTCTTTTGCACATTATTTACTGACCCTTCTCCTGCTGTTTCTCGCACAGAAAAACCAAAGAGGGGCGTGGTGCATTCGAGTACAGATAATAATATGCGAATAGATGAGAATCCAGCCCATCTATTAAACGAAGTGATATCTGAACCATTGGATAGTGATTCACAGAGTGTGGTAGAAAAAAGTGATGATAACATGCCTGTTGATTATTCAGGTAGTTTAAACGAGGTAAAAAATGATGAGGGAGCTGCTTGGGCAGATAAGCTTGAGGAGAAAATACCTCACCTAGATTTTTCAGATGGTGAACACCATCAAGTATTGGGTAGTGAATGTGTAATTGAAGATGTCGATGTCAGTGAGACTGTCGATCAAGTCGGTGCGCTTTCACCGACTGTCGATCAAGTCAGTGAAACTTGTCTCCGAGATGATGAAACTTCAAAGCTGTCCGACTCAGAAGGTAATTATAGGAGGCTATTCATGGACTTTTTTCTCAATAATGCTATCCTCTTTTATGAAGCTTACGTTAAAACATATAGCGTGCCTTAATGCATCAGTATTTACTCTGTTTTTACAACTTTAGCATGATATATTCCTCTGATGAATTAAACGGATTAAGCTAGATAATATATTTTAGCTACATATCTTTCAAAGATTTATCCTCTCATGTTTTTGGTTAAACTGTGCCAGGTTCCATATTAAATCGTAGGTGCAGTGCTGCAAATGAGCTTGAACCTTCTGATGACCAACCTAAGGAGGCGAGCGCAGAAGCTTTATCAGCATCTGAAACCATTGTCAATCATGAGATAATTGATGCTGAGAAGATTTCTAACTATCTCTATCTGAATTCCGAACTTGGTAGAATCAACAATGCTGACTTCAACTATATGAGGTATATTCTACAGCTCTCCAGCTTTATCGAAAGTGGTCATACAATAGACCGACCGCTCAGTTCTTCGATATTCGAGGGAGAGGAGGCCCAGTTTTACAAAAAACTTGAATGTTATTGGGAGAAGGTTGACAAAGATTCTGATCACCAGCTTTTGCATGATTTAGTTTATGAGACATCACACAATGTATTTGAAAAATCATTCACTTCTTTCCTTAAAACCTTCTCCTCGAGAACCCAAATCCGACCAATGCCACTCGGGCAGTATCTTCTCGAGGATGTCCGAGAAAAAGTTGCCTGGTACCTATGCTTGGGACCAGAACTAGACCAGTCATTAGACGATGTTGTGGGGCGAGATTTAAGAAAAGGTGACGATTGGATGAACCTCCAAACTGAAATAGAGTACAACGCACTTGAGTTGGAGGATTTGATTCTTGATGAGCTTTTAGAGGAAGTCATAAGTTTTTAGGATTCCTGGTTAGATCATGTTGTTGATAATACTGTATAGTGGCAATCTCCAAATCGTCTAAAAGTCATAAGTTTTTAGGATTCCTGGTTAGATCATGTTGTTGATAATACTGTATAGTGGCAATCTCCAAATCAGTACATAGAAGTTCTTGTTCTGTCAGGTCCAAGTAGGTGGAATAGATAAGATTCTTAGCATTTTCAATCACACACATACGTCTGTTTATCTGTACTGAGTTTCTTGTTTGGATGTATACAAACAACCACTGCAGTTTTGTGGCTCATTTGGTTCTTCCCTACCTCTAATCAAAATTCTTGTTAGGAAAAGCAACTAAACATAGCTTTTTGGTTTCTCTGTATAAAATATGCGGTACATGTTCGTAATGAGTTCCCTGAATTATAGTTATGCAATACACCAATGAGTTGGGATTATCAAGTCAACTAAACATAGCTAATCGTAAGATTAGATAAGGAGACATCGAATACCATAAAATAATTCATTTCAGAACTTCGAAAATGTTAACACGAGTTTGGAAAGAAGATATGTTCCCTTTGGCCTCCCGAACAAACTATTCAATATTTCGATAATTCATTTCACACTCTAGTTCGGAAATAAGCATAATATACAGAATGAAAATGCACACAACAAATACAGTTCACATGAATGCAGTACCACAATAAACTTCAGTGACAACCATGGCTGGGTTTATTATGGGTAAATCCATAGCTACCAGAAAGGATCACGATATCCATCTCATCTCCCAACAATTCTGAAGACCATTTGGCCTGCAATTAAAAAATACATCCATTCAACCATGGCTTTCGGAAAGCAGAAGTGATCGTATTATATCACACAGTTACGCGAAGTTACGAATTTAAACTACGGTATAAATCTAATAATCTAATTAGAGATCAAGGAAAGAATGGATCCATCATGTTTGTATTGCATGTTTACTTATTTTTTCTCCATAAAAATGTAACATGATTAACCGGGGAAAAAGTTTGAAGAAAGTTACTTGGTCCTGATAACTTGACCAGATAGGACTACTCATCCTCCTCGTAACGATGTTTCCTGCTTCTCTTCTCAGAGCGCTTCCTGGCTCGGCCCCTTGTATCAACAGAGCTGCTATCTTCAGAATCAGTTAGCGATGCAGCCTTCTGACTCTTGTGTTTGTGCCTTCGATGAGATTCCTCAGATGTGTCAGAATCCGAGTCATCAGAATACCTATGGCTTCTTCTCCTTCTCTTTTCTTTTCTACTCTTCCTATGACGTCGCTTAATTGTTTCTCCCTCATCTGATGAATCGTCTCTTTTCCTGTGCTTCTCCTTTCTCCTCTTCCTTCTGCTGTCATCTGAGTCATTGGATTCTCTTCTTCTGCTCCTCCTTTTTGACCTCCCCCTCTTTTTCTCTCTTGAATCAGAACCTGATCCATCATCAACCAAATCATCCTTTCTTTTCAGTGACCGTTTCTTACTAGTTCTTTTCCCTTCCCTTTCAGCAATAATCCTCTCAATCTCTGAATCAGCATCCGAGTCAGAGCTTTCACTCTCTTCCTCCTCACTCTCCTCGTCACTCTCAACTGCACCTTTTCCATTTCCCTTACCTATATTTCCTTTTAATTTATCCAGCTCCGACATAACATCAGCCTGGATAGCTTCTGGGTCTTTCTCCTTATCATTCTTAACACTCAAAAAATTCCTACACTGAAAACTAAGGTGTCCAACACGTCCACACCTCTTGCAAGCACCACGAACCTCATTGGCATTGGAACCAGTTATGCGAGCAAGTGCAAGAAGACCCTGAAAGCTAGCATATGCATTCTCTGCTTCTGGTTCAGAGCTAGCTGTGTTTTGTTGTGCAGAACTCTTGTTATCATCCTTGTTTGGTGCATATGGGTCATACCCAATTGCACTTTGCCATATACCATGCGTCTGTAGGGCAGCACTACTGTGTACCCTATTGTTCGCAGGCATGCGAACTCTTCCAGCTGTGGCTGGCATCTTGAAGCTTGGGGATCAACACTTGAGAAAAGAAAACTACTCTGACGTAAAAGGCCTGTAAGGAGGACAAAAAAGGAATTACAAAACTCAAGTACAACAAGAACATTATTTAAACCAAACTAAAATCTACAATAACAAAACATACGAAATACCAAAAACTAAACCCTATCCGAAGTAGAACAGATTCAAATAAAGGAAACCAATAAAAAAAAAAAATTTAACCCCCATGAACAACTGAAACTATAAAAGAAGTCTAATAACACCAATACTGAACTCCAGCTTGGCCATTGAGACGGTAATAAACAAATGATCTAAGGATTGCAAGTGCACAAATCTAAATCCAACTACAAAAACGAAACCAACAAGCTATAGATCTCTCATTCATCATGGCTCACCAAGCCCATAGAGACTTTAACCACCTGCCAAAACAGGTGGGTGCGGGTGGGGGAAGGGGAGAGCAAGTATATGCAAATACTCAGCAGCCCTACTACAAGAGGAGCCGTGCCCCAACCTCCAACCACCACAAGCAAAAAATCAGCAGAACATGCTCATTAAGCTCAATTACGAGTCAACGTAACACAAATATTATAAATCAACCCATGGTGGTCGTTTACTTAGGAAGCCTTAACGGATGATGCTAGAACTCAGTTTGAAAGCCTTGAACAAAAAATATTATAATAAAGACAAGGTTTAGAGGCTAGAACTCAGTTTGAAAGCCTTAACCGAAATTGAGAGCATTCACGAAGGATATTCTACACAATATAGACCATAAACCGTAATGGATCATTCCTAACTAGTTCAAAACTACGCACATAAAGCTTCCACAGGTTAAAGATCGATCTAAGATTCTTTACTTTAATCCAGTTCAAAAGGTTTCCCGTTGATACTCATTGAACCTCACCAAAAGGGCTCTGATTTTCGCGGGTCGGTAATCGAAACCGTCCAAACTTGCAGATCTGAACTTAATGGACAGTGGGCAACTCGATTTGAAGGCAATCGAAGTGTGGGTCAACGTCAGAGCTCGTCGAAAAGGAGATTAAATGTTGCTGCAAAGGTTTTCGTGGGTAACAGTAGAGATGTTGTCAATAACCCTAGAAATTTCCCCCTAAATTACCACAACAAGAATATAACTTATTGCTGCTTAATTCCACAGCAGCCTATTTCACGATTTCAACCTTGAACCAGAAAAAAGAATTTTCAGATTAGTCTTCTACGTTTCTTTTTCCTCCCCCCAAAGCGATTAACCTAGAGTTTCTCTATTCCGTTCTATTGCGAATAATCGTCCAAAGAAAGGCAAACAAGAGGAGAAAAACAAAATTCCCTTAAATTACACAAAAATAGCTGTACACGATGAACATACCTGTAGCTTGCAGACGGAACAAAATTCCCCAATTATGCCCTAGTTCCAATTCGAGATCGGGATGCTTCGTCCGTCGGAGAAAGATAGAGACGAAGAGCCTTTCGAGTGAGGGTTTCGTGAGTTGGCGCCGGTAGTTTCGAAGAGGATAAAAGAAAATACCTCTTCTGTGATTTATTCACTTTTTATAAATTTAAAAAAAAAAAAAAAAAAAAAAAGGAAATAAATACTTTTCGTTTGGCGGCAAGTTTTCTAAATGGACCGAATTGGGTAATTGGGCTGGGCCTTGACGTCAAGTTTTCTAAATGGGCTGAGAATTTTGGAAGTTGATATTTGGGTTATTGGGCTGGGCCTGAAAGCGAGCTTTGGGCCTTTCTTTTCCAAATAACTGAGCGGTAAGCTTCTTAATGGGCTGGGCTGCGGTAAGGCGTGTATAGATATATATATATATATATATATAGATATATATATATATATGTAGATATATATATATATATGTAGAATTTTGTGTTATTTGGAGCGTGGGATAAAAGCATTACACATTTTTTTTAATTAAAGTATTCCATAAAAATTATATTATGATTTTTAAATAAAAAAATAATCGTAGTTTTTTGTCATCCTTGAAGCGGCTGTGGGTTTGTTTAGTGAACCGCTTCTTCTCCACTCAAGTTCTTTGATTCTGCGCTTCTTTTTTTTCGTTGTTATCGAATTCTCTGATTCAAGGATTCTCAGGAAAAGGGAAAAAGGAAAGAGAAATGGCCAGGAAGTTCTTCGTCGGAGGCAACTGGAAATGCGTATGCTGCTTAGTTCTTAGTTAGAATTCTTTTGTTTATTTTCTTTCTATTTTTCTCCATGTTTTTGATGTTCCGCCGTTCATCGTATGATCTATTAGATGCTGAATCTGTTGTTTATATTGATTTCTAGCTATTTGGTTTGATTTTTTGGGGTTTTGATTGTGAACTGTGAGGAACTTCCAATCACACTTTTCTCCCTTGGTTTTTCGATGTACTGATGACTTAGCAGATCCTGTGACTTAATTTTCAATCGTCTTCGATGTGTTTAAGTGATAAAAGTATGTGTAACTTTGGAATTGGAGTTTGGGAGCACTGGACTTGCTTGATTGAACTAATTTTCTTGTTCATCGAATGAAAATTCTACAGAATGGAACAAACGAGGAGACGAAGAAAATTGTGAGCACGTTGAATCAAGCTGAAATTCCTTCAGAAGATGTTGTGGGTACGTATGGAAATCCTGTTTAGTTTTCAGTTGTATCAGTGTCCTACGAAGCTCTTCCAGTGATTGATTTGGTCCGTATATGTTATTCTCCTTTGTAGAAGTTGTTGTGAGTCCACCTTTTGTGTTTCTTTCGCTGGTGAAGAGTTTGCTGAGGTCTGATATTCAAGTTGCAGCACAGAACTGTTGGGTTCGCAAGGGTGGTGCTTTTACTGGAGAAATTAGGTATGATTTTCAGCTTATGCGTTCAGTATATCGAACAGGAGCGTGTGTGGCGTGGCTAGTTGATAATATCTTTATTCATTTGTCATAACTTTGTTCTTTGTCCAAAATTTTCAAAGTTAGTCTCAACAGAAACAGACGAATGCAATCTTTTGTCTTGATTTTCTGGGCCTTTTTCTTTTTTATTTGAAGAAATATTTCTCTGAACTCTTAAGAATTAAGTGTGCTTCATGCAATTCATTTGAATATGATATCCTTTTGCCTGCAGTGCTGAGATGCTCGTCAATTTGGGGATTCCCTGGGTTATTATTGGGCATTCTGAAAGAAGACTTCTTTTGAATGAATCGAATGAGGTAACCCCAGCTAGAACGGAAACTCGTGACCTTACCCCGAACTTTCCGAGGAAAAAGATTAATTTCACCATAAAAAAATATCACTGATTCAAAGTCCATTCCCTCGTCCGTTTGTATTCAGTTTGTAGGAGATAAAGTTGCATATGCACTTTCTCAAGGCATTAAAGTCATTGCTTGTGTTGGGGAGACTCTTGAGCAGCGAGAATCAGGATCAACATTGGACGTTGTTGCAGCACAAACTAAAGCAATTGCAGGTACTTCTACTTTCTCAGCCCTGACATTGAAAGTAAATGCTTGCAACTTTCATGAACTTAGAGCTCGATCGTATGCTTGTGTGCGTGCTGTGAGGCTTTTAATATTACACTCCATTGTTTTTGTACAAAATGGATGACCGTGTCCGTTACATGGCAGATAAGATTTCTCATTGGGACAATGTTGTCTTGGCTTACGAGCCAGTTTGGGCTATCGGAACAGGGAAAGTTGCAACCCCTGCACAGGCTCAGGAAGTAAGCTTTCTTCTCAAACATTCGTAAATGTCTCTTTGATTTCGCTCAATTAACAACTCACTGTGGCTCTTTCAAAGGTCCATTCTGAATTGAGGAAATGGTTTCACAACAATGTTAGTGCTGAAGTTCCTGAGTCGATTAGAATTATATATGGAGGTAACCTCTTTGCTCCTATAAAAAAAGTCCATGTATGCTATGTGACGTGACCGTGACACTGTTCATTTTTTTCCTATACTTTCTTGAGGTGGTCAAAACTGTAAATTCAAGCATACTGGTTAGGAAAGCCTTTGCAATCGAGCTCAAACCCTTGAAAGTACGACCGTGACACTATGCATTATTTTCCTCTACTTTGTTGAGCTGGTCAAAACTGTAAATTCAGCCATACGGGTTAGGAAAGCCTTTGCAATCGAGCTCGAACCCTTGAAAGTACGATCGTGACACTATGCATTATTTTCCTCTACTTTCTTGAGTTGGTCAAAACTGTAAATTCAAGCATACTGATTAGGAAAGCCGTTGCAATCGAGCTCGAACCCTCCAAAGCATGATATAGCCAAAAACAATCCGAGGGAGGGTTCTAAATTTTAGAAAACAACCAAATAAAAATCTTAATTTGGTTAACATATATGGACTGTGTACTAGCATATGCAAGTGTGGAGCTCATCTGTCTACGTTATTAATTTGTCTTTTAGGTTCTGTAAATGGTGCAAACTGCAAAGAACTGGCAGCACAACCTGACTTGGATGGATTTTTGGTTGGAGGAGCTTCGGTTAAGGTCATAAGTTCGCATCATATAATGTTTTTTTCACTTGTTTGGTGCAGCGAACTTAATTCGACTTCGATTACTGACCCGTCTTTATTATTATTATTTTTTTTTTCTTGAACTAGCCCGAATTTGTTGACATCATCAACTCTGCCACAGTGAAGAAATCTGCATGAATCGCTCGAGAACGAGAACGAGAACGAGATAGTTCGATCTTCCTTTAGCTAACCGGGTATGTTGCGGGAATCGTTGTTTGCTTCACCCACTGCTGTTGTATAATAATCACTTTGTAATCTCTTCTTTTTTATGCATTTTAATATAAATAATTTGGCACGGTTGACGTCAATACTTCGTTTAGGATTAGACTCAGATAGATAAATATAAATTTGAATTTCGTATCTATTATAATTATAAATCCATAGGATCTAAAATTTAAAATTTTACGAATTTCATAATTTAACCATTTAAAATTTTACGAATTTAATAAATTAAATTCATAATTTACTTTTATTTTGGTAGAATTGGTTGGGTAACCACAAAATCACACATCAATTTCACAATTTGTGACACTATTTTAGTAACAATTTTCAAATTGGAAATAATAATATAATTTGGCTTTAATATTTTAATTTAATTTTGATTACCACTGAATTTTTAATTTAGATGAGTAATATATATTTAAGAAAATACTCCATTATTATGACAATTAATTAAAATAATCACAGCAATTAACCGTAGCATTATTATTAATTTATGATTAGACATTTCCTTAAACAGCCGTCTGCTGAGGTCGCTTTCCTTAAACAACCGTACACTAATTAATTTTTTATACTAATTACTAATAGGCATACAAAAAAAAAAAAAAGATTATAAACTCAACAAAAATTATTGACATATATATATGTGTGTGTGTATGTATATATATATGTGTGTGTATATATTTTTTACTATAAAGTTCAAATTTACGTATATAATAAAAATAATATAAGCCGACATTTATTCGAATTAAAATCATTAAAATATTTATTTACAAAAATGATATAAGCTTGTACGGAAAATTATTGTTAAATTTGTCTTCAAGTTGAAGTCAACAGATTTGCTACCGCCATTTGACCTTACTCAGTCGAGCGGCGGCTCGCTCGCTGGCCGGCGAGGGGGCTCTTGAGCCGCCGAGAAAGAGCGGTCTCTTTAATTCTGGATTCCTCCGCTCCAGCTCCATTGAAATGGGAGGATTTTGGGCGCTTGATTGGGACGCCCGCGTGGACCATGGGATTGAAAACAAGCTCCCATGATCGAGGTATTTCTTCGAGTTCAATCCAATGATAGAAAAGTCAAAAGAGTAACGCCTATCCAATCCCTTACCCATCCAATTTTCTTTCATGTTTATCATTCGGTGCCGATTGCCGTCAGCAATCTTGTTTTTCACCATTGTGATTCATTGAAGACGATGAAATCGGACGCCTCTCAGACTGCAGCGGGAGCCTTTCGGGGCCCTATCCTCTTTGTGAAATGACAGAAAAAGGGGACCAATATACTCGCCATTAACACGAAACTTCCTACCCTCCTGTCCGCTGGGGGCTGTCCAACCCTTCTCGATCTCTATATTTTAGCCAAATGAACAGGGAAATTTTAGCAGGAACTTTAGGGGTTTGCTTATTTCTTATCAATTAAATCTTCTGCTGAAGATTGCCCTAAGGAAACAGTGCTTTGGAACGAGGATCTAACTAGTTGGCTTTTCTTACGTGGGTTGCTGATACAATGAAAAGTGGTTAGTTTAGATTGTTCATCTTTGTTCATATGGGTTTGCTGTGAATGTGCTTGATTTCATTGATGGAATATTGATTTGATGCTTGTTATCTTGTTCTTCCCCTTTTTGGTGGTATCAGCATGAATGTTCTGAAGGTGGGAGTGTCTTTGACTTAATTCTGATGGGTATCTGCTTTAGTGCCAAATCTATATCAGAAAACGATGATAATACAGGTACTACAAGGCTCACTTTATTTGCTAATGAAACAGTGTGGTGGAAGCTTTTAGGCTTTCTGGTTGTCATTTCAAAGTTCTTTTAGATTTCTTATTAATTTACTGAACTTGTTGGGAATATTGTCCTTTTA